TAAAAAATCCCCCCCTTCGTCCCCTACGTCCAGGGGCTCTTATGCCCACATTCTCCACCACGTGTAGTGGGGTACCCCTCCCTCTTTGTTACGGGGTACTCCCCCTTCCCAAAACCCACGGGGTCGTTAGTTCAAACCCCCCCATCACGGTCGCCTATGTGCGTCCCAACTAATCAGGTCATTAACTTGCCGGGTCTCCCCAAAACATCGGCTGCACGGTTTCCTCCTGGTGGGGAAAGGGGGTCCCGCCCCGCCAGCCCCACCCAGCGTGGCGTGGTGACGTCTCCCGCCGGCGGCTGGAGTAGCGCGATGGCATCATCCGCCTGGCCGCCTCCCTGAGATCCTCCGGCATTTCTAGCCGGAAGGCCGCCGCCGCCGAACAGCTGACACAGCAGTTGGCGGGGCGTGCAGGGGCCGCACGGGTGGCTGTTCGCGGCACGCCCCGCTCGGGGCTCCCGGCCTGACCCTCGAGAACCGCTGCATACGCAGTCGGCCGGGTCATCTCAGTGCGGGGCGCCCCTACCCCGTCACAATACTATATACATTTTTTTTAGTCTCTAAGTTGCCACAGGACAACTAATTGACGGTAAATTATGAGGAACCTGAAATGTAAAAACAGTGCCAGCTCTGGTCTACAATACGTTTTACTGTGTCTGAATACAATCACCGACCTAAATACTGACCTAGTTCTACACTACAAACATTTGCTGTTATTGTAATGTCAGTTGAGAGTGTGATTATTTATGAGATTTCTATTTCAGCAAAAGCCCGAGTGTAATTGCAGTTTTACCAGCATAAAAGTGTTTTTGCTGGTATGGCTTATATCAGGGCCACCGCTAGGGGGAACTGGAGCCTGGAGCCATCCCACACAGTGCTCCAAGCAGGGGGGTCAGGGCAACCCCCACCCCACTCCACTCCTTCCCACCCCTGCCTCAACCCCTTGCCAAAGCCCTCTCCCCTGGGCATGTGCAAGGAGATTACTGGAGGGCCTGGTGCAGAATGGCACAAGGGGTCAGCACTCAATGCAATGTCGGGAGCTGGAGCAACCCAGCAGCCTGCTCTACTCCACCCCACCCTGCCCCGCTGCTGTCTGCTTCACCACAGTAGTGGCAAATGGAGCGCCCGAGGGTGGGGCACTTTGCTT